GATTACCAGACACTTTTAGCACCCTGAAAAATCTAGTGATTGCTTTACTCACAATTTTTCCCTCTATATACTTTTGTGAGACCTTATTCTCAGCATTAAATAATATTAAAACCTCTTATTTTATTTTTATCATGTCAATTTAATATTTTATGTTTTTTTAATTTCTCTGAAGTTAAATGATATTATAGCTAAATTAAACAAAGTTTATAAATAAAATATTTAAAATTTCTGTTAATTGTAGAACAATTAAATTATACATGAAAATAATATATATTATTATCAGTAATTAACAAATGTAAAATTAATTTGTTTTAGTTTTCTTAGGTATCTGTAAGTAATGAAAAACATTCATACAAACATATCAAATATCACTTCAGGAATGTGAATTTATGAACAAAAGTATTTTAAATATAATATCAATTATAATATATATAGCTAATTATCTATGATTTATTTATTAAAATAATTTACCTTAATTTCATTTTCTAACTGACTGTGCTTCTTCTGGAGTCTTTCCACAGTGGTAACTGAATCACCCAATTCATTATTAAATTTACTGTTCTGAACTTTTTCTATTAGTAAATTATGTATCTAGAATATATTTATTGTAAGTTTAATTTGAGATGTTTCTTATATATATATATATTAGTAAGTGTACTTAAATTTCAATATATATATTACCTGTTCCAATTCACTTGACACAGTGAATATTTCTAAGCACTGTTCAAGAATCAGTTTTCTTTTATTCCAGAATATATCTATCCTGTATTTCTGATCATGCAATAATTCCATGTGTTTTTCAATTATGCTCGTGGCTTGTTGGACGGCAGGATAAACATGATTTGGTCGAGCATCACCCAAATTATCTTCTCCTACTTGATGCAATTCTTCCAGCAAAATATGGCCAGCATTTAATGTATGAAGTGATGATTCTAGAATACCTGAAATATTTATCATAAAATCATTTATTAAATATTGATGTAAATATTTAAAGTAAATATAAGAAAAATGTTTTTGCCAAATAGTAAAAAAAAAAACCTTTTCTATTTAGTTTTGATAAATAAATATCTATAAAATTGAAATAGATCATGAAACTATTTTTAATTTGAAAGGAGTAAAGATTTATTAAAACTTGATTTACCTTTTCTGATATACTGTAAATGCTGTAATTGAATATGGCACATATTAGAATCGGCAGGTAAAGTATCATCGATGAGATCAGACTGAATTTTATTCAAATGCTCTGTAAACTAAAGTATCACTGATATGTTATTCTGAATACAAAACTAGAAACAATAAAATAATATAATATTTTATTTAAAATTAAAATAGTTTTTTTTTTCTTTTTCAAAACGCACAACTTTTAAAATTTAATTTGAAGTTGCATAAAATTTTCTTCATTAAAATCTACTCTGAAAATTTGCAATCTCATTCTCATTGAATTCCATGGAATAATTTTTCTGTATTAATAATTCAATATTTACTTAAACCTGGAATTTTTATTATAAAATTTATTGATTTAAATATGTAATATATTATTTTCTATTAAAATATAAAACTGATAATCTTTGTTAGATGATTTTCACTTTAATGGCAGTAAGTAACAAATAAAATAAAGGATACAGCTATTTTAAAAATAAAAAAAAACTTTTTATCACTAATGCTTAGTGATAATGTTTATTAATTCATTATTATTATTATTTTAAGACATTAAAAAATATTTTAATTGTATTGTATTTGTGATTTCATTTTCTTAAATTATACTTATCTTTTTCTAAGTTTATACAAATTTCAGGGCTGTGCTGTGCTATGATATGATGCAGAGATGCAGCCGCATTAGGCGGCACCATAATGGGGTGGAACAAGCAGCATTTAAGAGGTGGCATAAGCGGCGGAATTTCGAAGACTTGCATCATACTGAGAAAATCTACCGCGTGGTCCCGACAAATTTGATAACATTAATTTATAACAATCTAAAGTGAAAACATAGCTGTAAATTTTGACGCACAAAGTATATGTTTGTTTATTTGTTAAGTTATGGCAANCAGATTTTTTTTTGTATTTTCAACTGTTATGTATTTATTTCTACGAGTTTCTAAGTTAATTTTTATTCAATTATTGTATTTTAATTAGGCAGAAATTTTCAGATTGCAGACTTATATAAATATTAATGCATTATTTCTTTATTCTCTTAGGAAATATTAGCTAATATAAATATTAAATTCAACTTAAGAGTTAGCTAAATTCGAATAATAAAGTTTTTTTTTGTTTTGTACTGTAGAAAGCGTATTAAAAACAATTTAATCTTTTTGTCAGTAATCTGAAGATTTCACAGACAAAAGGTGAAGAATCATCCGACCTCGAAATTGATAAGGATACTGATGTTGAAGCTAAAATATACGAGGAGGAGAATGACTATCGTAACGACGACGATCCTCTACCACCGAGATTATCAGACTTAATATCTGCAAAACCGAGATATATCGTTCCAAAAATAGATGGCATCTTACAGAACGACCTACAACCACCCCCGCTGAGACCAATATCGATACAAACTCCGGTAGTACCAATATCGATGCCAACGTCCTTTGTACCATTATCAGTGTCGTCTTCAGTGACATCAAATTCGTCGGTACCAATATGTGTACCAACAGCACCGAAATTGAAGTCGATATCGTTAGAAAATCAAACCAAATCTCTACAACAGAACAATAATTATAATAAAAATAATAAGAATCATCGCCGGTCTAAATTAAAGCTTCGAGCTGCGGCATTACTCGAATCATTACAACAACGAATGGAGTCTGAAGCACCCGAAGATGAAGAACATTATTTTGGACAGATTGTTGCATCTACAATGAGAAGACTTCCTCTTCAGCAACGTGCAATCATCCGTATGGATATTTTGCGCCTATTGTATAATGCCGAATACAACAGGGAATAAGACGGTTATAAAATCAGAAAAAATATATATTCATATTTACTGTAATTATAGTTTAAATTTATTTTTATACTGAAATGATAAATATATAGTTAATAAAACTATTATATGCAAAATCATCCAAGAAACTATTGGATCTTGCACATCCTAACAAGATAACATACAAATGATGAATAATGCATGAAGAATATGATAGAATTAAATAGATGATTATTTCATCCCTTACAGCATCGTTATCAATGAATCATATTAATAAGTATAATGTCGTGGTCATTTAGTTCTGGTCACAATTTCTTTCAATCTGTTATTATCTAATATAAATCTACACAATTTTATAAAGATAATACTGTAAAAGCAAGAATTCTACTAGTTAAAAGTGAACGATTTATAGTTTTCTTCTATCCTCTTGGTTCTGGAAAATTAGATAAAAATTTTCGATTTAAGTGGCAGTAACTTTACTAGATAAGATCTTATCGTATTTGGTATAAAGGAAGGACCCTCATCTTAACGAAACAGTGAATTACATCATTGTTCTCGATAAGGAAAGTAAAGTAATGCTTCTCCACAACGAGCAATTAAGTAATTACCTAAACTTATAATACTTTAAAATCCTTAAATAAAACAACAAATAACTGCAATTTATTTTTTTAATATTTGAATATTAATTTAATATTTTACTGAAAGTATAACATGAGGTTGTTCTTTATTCTTAATATCTAAATATATATATATATATATATTTCTATAACATTATTTTATATAAAAATGTTATGTTTTTCATTAAAAAATGCAAACTTTGTATTAGACCAAATAAGCATTTAATGAATTTAATTATTGAGTGGACCAACAGAAAATTTTTTTCTCTGTAAATCCTAATCTCTTGAAACATATTCTTATGTAAATGATAAATAAGTGTCTGCTGTTTAATTATATATTAATTAAATAATACTTCTAGAAGAAATTATGTAAATAATTAGAAGTTTTCAAATCCTCTTAATCGTTTTTCCAAAATTTTTTATTGTGATATTTACTTGAAATTTCTAATTTATTATTAAAAAAAAAACATTATTAGATTTTATTTATAATATTTTCTATGCATGAAAAGAAATATAGAAACTCCAATATACAATTATTACTTTCAAAGCTGTTTCATACTTTTAAAGCAATCATTTATTATCATGCATGATCATCTATCTAATAAAGGAATTGTCTTAAACGTTCATAAAACAGCTAGGATTAGTTAACACCATAAAATTTTAGATTCTGTAAAGTGCAGAAGTGTTAGTAGGTGCAATTTCACAGTAGACTATAATACTAAGAATGATTAATCAAGGTTATGTTATGGCTTAGAAAATAAATGCTTATGTTAATGATTCTACCTCTTTAGCTTTCGAGTAATATGATACGGCCAGTTCCAATAATTTTAAGCGTTTCTCTAGTTGTTCATTTACATTTTTCCAAGCTTGACTGAGATTATTGGCCATACAATCGTACACAACAGCCTTCGATTTCTGAGTCACTACGGCTCCGTCCACTTGGCGCAACAGTTCTTCAACCGGGCTTTGTTGTTTCTATTAAATTTCGATTATTAATTTTCTATAATTCTACCCGTAAAAAAGTTTATTTAAAAAAAATGAAGGAGAACCTACCCGAATTTTTTCCATTACGTCTTTGTGTTGGTTTAATAAACTGGAAGATTCTTCTAGGCAACTTCCTACTTCTGTCATACATGGCTGCAATTCGTGTATTTTCAGTTGAAAGGTATTTTTACTCTGAAATAAAACTTTTTTGTTAAGTTTTTTTTAATAATTCTTTAACATCTCTATAGAAAACTTTTTAAATAAAATGCATAAGAGATGAACAAAAACACCGACAGACATTCACTGGTATTATAATCACCCCATTGTATATTTATCAGTTGTAACAGTTTATTTTCGAACATTCTATTCAAATGTCTATAAAAATTTTAAACAAAACATTTAAACGAGTGTTTAATTAATAATATAAAATGACAGACGATCCTCTACCACCGAGATTATCAGACTTAATATCNAGAAATCTTGTTTATCAATTCTTTAGCTTCTTCTTCAACTTTTTTGAACAATTCTGTAATTGTAGTATGTGTAGTATCTAACTTTTGAAGCTGAATTTCTGCTTGAGTAGCGTCCTGTGAAAGTACTGTTGTTCGATATTCTGACTGTAGCTTTTCAATCAAATTATCTAACTAAATACATATATATATATATAAAGTTTTAATTAAAATTATTGATATCTCTTAAAAGATACAAAAATAAAATTCTTACTTCTTTCAAATTATGAAACAGTGCATTCATGTTTGCTACTAAAATCTGATAAGAAGCAACATCTTTCTGAAGTTTTGCATAAACACTTTGTAATTTTGATTTCATAACAGCTTCTTCTTCCTTTAGAGTTGATGATGGTGATATGAAATCTGATCTTTTAAAATATGCTTCTACTTCTGACTGAATTTGCTAAAATACATAAGTTTTGTTATGAAGATATTAATGTTATGTAATACATATAAATATATCATATTATTCAAAGTACCTTTATTTTTGGAGCAGTATCATCAGAACAACGTTTCAAATATTCTACTACAATACCAACTTGATCCATATCACGTGACAAAATTGGGAATAAATTTCCTTCAAGTCTATGTACATTTTCAGTTGTCTAAAAAAATTTAACAAATTAAATACTTATATAAATATATGTAAGCATATCCCATTACTTAAATCTTAGTTTTCCATTACTTCTTACGAAAAGAATTCTAACTTTTTCCCAGTCATTCTGAATAATCTCAAGTAATTTCCCAAATGACATTAAAACATTAAAAAAATCTATTTACCTACCAATATGTATTTTTAGCAACATTACAATTTTTAATTACTTTTCTAACAAACACTAAATGAGGTCATTAAAGGATATGTTTATTAGTAACACAATAAATAAGTTTATATAGTCCTTGATATTAGGAATTGTACATGAACTGTATTTTCTTTAATATATATTCAGTGGACAGCAATGAAAATTTAATAATATTACAAGAAAGTGAGGGTATTAAGTGGGATAATAAATTATAGATGATGCCATTATACAAAATACAATAAATATCTAGGAACCTTTGCTTCCCAAATTAACTAGCACAACTTTCAAATTTTTCATAAATATAGTTTGAAGATATTAATAATTCCAAGATTACCAAGGATTTCTCCCACACCGGGTCATATACAACAAATATGCTTACTTCTTAACCAATATCCGGCGTGAAAACTCCAAACAAAGATTGGCAAACGCTTTCGATGCCCCTCCTGGGCTCTTCTTCAGGCCAAATTTACTGTACTGGATTCTTAAATCGAATGTTTTTAAATAAGAACGTGCTCAGTTACGGAAGGTAATCACGTGCTTTTCCAAATTATAATTAATTTTTTTATAAATTATATTCGTGGAGATATGTTGTGCGCATCCCATAATAATCTCGTGTATCTTATAATCACGTGCCGTTTCTAAAAATAAATTCCAAGATTATTAGATTTGGATATGTAATAAGTACTAAAGAACGTCCTTCATTGTAATAGAAACTCAGATAGAGGGAGTTCGAATACCAGAATATATAGCTAAATGTATAAAATATCCACCAAACACTGAAACTCCAGTTTACAAATGTAAATTTAATGCAAAACAAATGTTTTAAATTGCCTTAAGCAATGACTATCAGATTACAGAACTGTTCTAAATATGAACATACATTTGGAACAAATGAATTTGAAAAATTATGATGACATATGATTGGTTAGAATTAAAAAATGATTTCAAATAATGATGCCCATGCTTTCAAATTGTGTTATTATCCTTAAAACATTTTATATAATATAATCAAGTTACTAAATTGTTTTATTCATAGCTAAATATACACACAGATACATATTAAATAAAACCCATTTTGATATTGTAACAAACGACACAATTTTAAATTCTTTTTACAAATGAAAAATTAAATAAATAAAATGTATTTACTGTATGAATTATCCTAGAGATTAAAATAATATAAAAATTTAAAGAAATATCTACAATATATCAAGCTTAGAATTTTTTAAATTTGTAAAAATTTCATCATTAAAATTTTAATATTTTTACCATTTCAACATCTCTACAGAACTGTTCCCATATTTGTCTATCCTTTTCTGCAAGTTGTGATTTCCAAGCTGTCCAAATAGTATTCATATCATCATAATGATTCTTAAGATTTTTTAATAATCTTTCAACACATGAAATGGCAGATTTCGTATCTAAATATGGATCCTCTAACTGAAAAATTGATAATATATAATTTTGGATGAATAAAATTCTATAATTTACTATTCTAACAATAAAAAGGTAATAAATAAAAGCATTAAATTACCTTATAAGCAGCTTCAATAAATGCAGTTCCAGAATGTCTAATATTATTAATATCACACTCTAAAGAAATCCTTTTCCTTTCTATGTCTTCAGATACAGATGATTTATCTCTTGCTTGTTTAAATAATTTTTCAACATTTACAATATTTTCATAAATCTATTTAAAAAGTTAAGAATTTCATTGTATAAAACTTATTATATGTATTCACTTAATAAAAATATTACCTCTTTATAATTCTGATGAAATAAAACATAAGATTCTGAAAGATATATTCTTTTCTCTATCATATTACAGAGTTTTCGCCAACGTTGATGAATTTCATCTTTTTTTTGTATTTCATTTAGCGCTTTTTTGCTTATTGTCATTACAGTTGAACAAGAATCTATTAAAGCTTCAATATCTTTACTTTTCATCTATAAATATAAATTATTTTTCTTTTTAACTATTAAAATACTCACAAATTTCAAAAATAATTTGTGCTGAAAGATAAATTTTAATATACAATATATAAAATTATATAATAATTATTTTTTAAAATAATTATAACATATTTCAAATTTATTTAGAGAACTGTGAAAACATAAGTAAAATGTCCATTGACAAAATAAAAATATCTGTTTACTTGAGGATTTCACTATTGTAATTATATATAACATATAAGATACAGTCATATTGAATTATGCATACTCACATCTTTACTTATGTAACAGAAATTTTATAAACTAATTTAGCATTTTAAATAATCTATTTTTATACTTCAATAGTTATAGATGTAAGTTAGTAGGTACTTACATAATTTTATTGCCTTTATGCTTCTAAAAAAGATTCATTATTTACTTGTATTATAACATTTATTTTTAAAATTTTGAGGACACATCATATTTCTAAGACACACCATGAGAGTGAAATTGAGTTTTAAGATATTTTTTGGAAATAAAATTTCTTAAGTACAGTAAAGCTTCGATTTAATGGACTAACTCAAGACAGGCAGTATCTATATACATATACAAATATCTCTAAACCCAATAAATTTGTAATACACCAAACAACTATTTACTTAATAAATATGATTATTAAATTTAATAAGAGATTGTGCCTAACACCTCCCTCTAGGATAAATTATTTAGAAATTAATTAATATAATCGTGGAAAAGTAATATGATATAATCTGATAGTTGTTTGGAGTATGACAGGGTGTGTCTATTAAAGCTGAAAGTCTGTTATGCAATAAAGTAGGTTTTCTGAATGCATATGTTAAATTCACAAATTAGTTTATTTGTTTTTACTTATGCAGATAAGTTTGTGTAATTAAAATTAAATATGTATGAGAAGTTTAATTTCACAAAAAAGTTTTCTATATGTATTAATGATTATGTAACTTACTCACCGTAGCTCTGAGACTGTAATAATCAAGTATATGATCTAAATCAAAATAAATAAACAAATATTTTTTGGAAAGTATGTTTTAATACATTGAAAAATAAATATAATTAAAATTCATTTGTATCTAAACAAACAAATAATATACTTAAAAGGAACACAAAATTTAAATTTGACAAAGACAAAACAATTTCCTACTTATTCCTCTTTGGATGATAATATATTGAGACACTCCCATTGAGTGAAGTTAAGAGCAGTAATTTTTGGATTTAAAGAAAAGAAAAAAATGTAAAAAGCATTTTAAAATTAGCAAGGTATTAATTTTGACATATGATATAGACCAGAAATTTTGTCCCTTAAATAGAGGTCTATTAAATTGAGAATTTACTGTAATCAGTTTTGAAAAAAATATAAACACCAAATTCCATGATATAGATGTTTGGCAGCTGTATTTCCATGTTCCATTGTGCATACAATAACTTTTCTACCTTTGCAACTTGTTATCTTGAAAGCTTTTCAAATGTTGAAAAGAACTTTAAATTAAATGCCTATCACAGTAAAACTCATTTGAACTGTTATGACTATTAAGAAAATTAGTTAAAAGTATCTATTATTGGGTCATAATACATTATGTGGTCTACTTGCAACTAATGCTGATTGTTGTTTTGAACTGCAAACAAAAAATGCCCTCGGTTGTAAGGAAAATCTTTATTTTGGTCAAGTAAAAAATAGGCAAAAAAATATGCATCTTAAAATCAAGAAAATATGGTATTTCATTTTTTAAATTTTGGTAATTATTATAAATAGTAGCTTCATATTAGTTAAATATATAAAATTTCAAAATTACTGTACCTTAACATCTGCATGAAATTGTTTGTGTAAATCAACAAATATTGTAGCAGTGGTAAAATTACTTCCCATATCAGTATGGTTTTTCAAAAAATTATCTCCTATATTATTTAACCAAATTTCTATCTGTCAGAAAATTATTTTATTTTAGTAAAAAATCATAAACTGAATCAATAAAATAGTAAATAGCACATAAAACTTACTGAACTACATTTATTATAAAAATTTGTTATTCCTTCCAGTGTATTAAAATCTGGTATTATATTTTTAATTTGATGATAATGATTTTCTAATTCCTTTATCTATAAAAAATATATATACATATATATATATATGAGTTAAACAGGACTTCCTGCCCCTAAGATTTCCATATCTG